GGGGAGCGGGGCCGGCTCGGCCTCATCGGGGGCGCTGGCCTGGGCTTCTGGGGTGTTGGCTTGTTAAAAGGAAAAAAAGCTCAAAAGTAAGCTGAGTCATGGACTTTTCTGAACTTTGGGGTAGTACAGAGAAGAAGGGCTCATAAATAGATGGGGACAGGGCTGTGGATGTTGGTGTTAGTGTTGCCAGCAGCGGCTGCTGGGGGGGGGGGGGGGAAAAAAGCGGGGGGCAGGGTGTACCTGTGAGACTGAAAGCGTTTTATAGTTGTGAAGTCTAGGGACAGAGACAGTCTAGCAGTAGGAACCCCCCTGCTTCCCCCCAGCGCAGTGTTCCCAGAGGACAAATTTAAGCTTCGTGGATTTGAAAGTTGAACAGATGTAGTACTGCTAAGGCATTGTAGGGAATTTATAAATGCTGCTGAGATATGGCATCTTTGGGGCAGCAAATTGTGTATTTCTAAAATACTTTTGCTCATTTGACAGATTTGATGAAAAGGAGAATGTATCAAACTGCATCCAGCTGAAGACTTCAGTTATTAAAGGCATTAAGAATCAACTGATAGACCAGTTTCCTGTTATTGAACCATGGCTAAACCAAATTATGCCAAAGAAAGACCCAGTCAAAATAGTAAGATGGTAAGCTTCCTTTCTCTTAACCTTTGCTTCCAAGGTAATAGGATTGCTGCCTTTATGCGTTTATTTTGTATAGTAGATGAACCTTGTGCTTTTGGAAAGCATCTAATTTCTTGCAGATGATAGTCCATGTTGTGGCCAAAACAGAAAGTTGGCATGTGCTCGTCAGGCTCTTGAAGGCATGCTAGTAGCAAGCTTGAGGAGAACAAATGATGCTTAGTAGTGAATTGTTTGGATAGCTTCCAGTAGCATTTCTTTACTGTTCTTTGGTTTCTATGTATTATCTGGATTATTTATTTTTAAAAATAAGTAGTAAATTTTTGCTGATTCCTTCTCCTTACCTATGCTTTGTATTGCATTTAAAAAAACCCAGAGAAATGTAGCTATCGAACAGCTGGATATTTGTCCGTAGGTTTTTTTTCTTTTTGCATTTTTAAAGGGGAAAGAAGTGTGCAGGAGGCCAGTGTTGAATTATGAGGCATAAAAAAGATAATGTTTTTAGTTTTAAATTTACTTGCTAATTGACTGCCTTAATTCTCTGATGCCAAGATAGACCTGACACTGTGAAGTGAAATATTTCCTTTAAAGTATAAAATGTTTAAGGAGCCATTGGAATTATTTCTTTTAATCTTGCAGTCATGAACATATAGAAATCCTCACTGTGAATGGGGAGTTGCTGTTCTTCAGACAAAGAGAAGGGATTTTTTACCCGACGCTAAGGTTGCTTCACAAATGTAAGTTTCCTGAGGATGGTAGTAGTGAGGAGAGAGGCGTGAGTGTATGATTCCACAGGACTTCTGTAGAACTGAATTAAAAAGAATTTACTACTTACATGCATATATATAGTCTAGAATAGATCTCAAAGATGCGGTATACCTTCTCAACTGTATTTTATTGCTTTGCTATTTCAGGTACCTATATATGGATTGCTTCCCCCATAATTATTGTGATACTATATGTTAAGCAGTCTCAACTTTAATTTTTAAGAACTGAATTGTGCAAAGGTGTGCAAAAATACTTGAGAGAGGTTTCCCTAGGACAGAGATCTAGATTTCCTGTTGTTAGGCCCTATTTTTGTTCTTCCAGCTCTTCCTTTAAACCCTTTTTGCTTCCTTCTAAATACTTGTAGGGTCTTACTAGAAAAATGCTCTTTAATTATGAGTTTACTGATGTATGCTTGTCTCCTGTAAGAATTTATGCTGCATACTTTTTACTATTTAGTCTCTTTTACTATTCTCTTGCTATTCTCACTGTTCTGCTTGATTGTGTTACTCTGATTTGGATGAGCGTAGGTGTCCCTAAAGACGTCATTCAGTCAAATCTCAATGTTTGAAATACTTCAACGTGTGTGCAATTGAAGGATGGCTTGGAGAGCTGTCAGCCTCTATGAATTTTGTCCATCTTTGCCTTTTTTGTCCTGTTAACATTAAACTGTTTCTTTTTCATGTAAGAGGTCATACGTGTAATTTGAGGGATTTAAGAGCCCTTAGTTTTAAGACCTCTTAGTATGTGGGCACTTGTGTGATTGTTTTCACCAGGTGAACTTATCAAAATTGTTGCTCAGTATATGGGTATGCAGGAGGCATAGGCCTAGTGTTAGATTACCCTTTTGTTCTCAGATAAAAGATGTGGTCTGGGAGGACAGTATTTGTGTCTTTGGGACAGTACAGCCCAGCAGGAGCTCCAGTAATTGTTTTTCAAACTTGCAGCACACTGTATATCTAATTGTGCCATCTAAACTGACTTGATAATGAGTTATTAATGTTTTCATCTTACCGTATTAATTGTAATGCTGTATCTTTCCCCTCCTAGACCCATTTATTCTACCACATCAGCAGGTTGATAAAGGCGCCATTAAATTTGTGCTAAGTGGAGCTAATATAATGTGCCCTGGCCTGACGTCTCCTGGAGCAAAACTTTACCCTGCTGCCGTTGATACTGTTGTTGTATCCTTCTTTAACTGTGAATTACTGCTTCCTGTCAGATGAGTTAAAATTTCTGTTCTTGTGTTGTGTTCTCAGCTGACCATAATCTGAATTATTTTGGATTTTTATGGTATTTTGTGGAATAACTAGTAATCTGAAAAGAGCTGCAGAGATTCAGATGTTATTTGGCAAGGTTAAAATTGTTCTTAAATTTTCTTACTTACTGTGACGTTCCAAACCAAATAACTGTTCCTGCTGTGCTGTTGGGTGGGATGCTGTTCCATTAAGCTAATGGATAAGTGTAGCTCCTTTGTGATTTTATGCAGAACTGTAGAAATAGGTGAGGTACAGTGTAAGTTGTCTCCAGCCTCCTTAATCAATCTGGTGTCTCCTTCAGTTATAGAAGTAGTTGCTCCTGTTCCTGGGGAGTTTGGAAAGATGTTTAGGTTTTGTAGTCAAGAGTTGCTCTATGTGTCTGGTGAAATTAGCATATGTAAAATGAGGAAAGTATGCTAATTCATTCCTTATTACTGAGCAAGGAACCCTGAGCAAATGCAGCATTAATAATAGCAAGCTGTGCTGCTTTTGTTAGCTGCTGTAGGAAAAGATCAGCAGTTAGCATCACGTGTTGCTAAGCTTTGTAAAGGACACGTCTGATTTCAGTACTTCTGGTTTTTTGATTTGTGTCTCAGGTCTTCTGTACCTTGGAATCTAAAATGGCCCCAGATACAGTTGCAGTTTTGTTACAGAAGGGGTGAGACTATAGTCTCTCAGTGTTAGGCACAAAGGAGGAAATGGAGTGTAGGGCTGGGAGATAATTTTCTGTAATTGCTGTTTAAAGTTCATAAATACATGCTTTGTTCTACACACTGTGATTCAGTTGTTAAATGCAGCACATTATTTTGCTTATCTTTAAGCGCTAGAGCTCTAGAATTACTAAAAGGGTAAAAGTTCAACAGGGGGTTTTGAGACTTTTTGGAAAGCGGTTTCCTCATATTGCTTTTACTTTTCTGAAATAGTTTTAAAAAAGAAATCTGTTTTCCTTAGCGGTAATTTGTAGGCAATAATGGCAGAGGGAAAACAACATGCGTTGTGTGTGGGAGTAATGAAGATGTCAGCTGAGGACATGTAAGTGTTTTAAACATTGAACTATACCCTGTCCTACGTCCTTATTCCTATGTTAGTTTGGAATATAAGCACCACTGTCAAGTTTACTGCATCGCTGTTGCAGCATGTGTCGTTCAAGTACAGAATTTCTTAAGATCTAATTTTGTTGATTAATATTTGGGGAAAGAAGAGGAGGCAGGGAATATCTTCCCTACTTACTGCTTTACCAGATTGAATCAAAATAGTTCTTCCATGTGAATATGCATTTTAAGATGTACAGTGTTAGTACTACCTCTGATTGTTTCTTGCTCTCTGATGATACTTTCTCAAAGATCTTGCTGAACAAAAAAATACCTGTATAGAGTACTTAATCCCTGGGCTGGGCAAGAGATGTAATTTGGATTTGAAGGGGTTGAAAATGTTGAAGTGATTTTTATCTGCAGGGACAGCAAAGACTAAAGTCCTGCTGGTAGTTGGTTGGCCAGCTGGGCTTTCCTCTGTGGCTTTTTTTTTTTTTTTTTTTTTTTTTTTTTTTTTTTCCTTTTATCCTGCCTGAAGTGCTTACTAGCTTAGCTTAGCTTCTTGTGAAGTGCAGAGATCTGTTCAGGGAATAAACATCAGCTAGAAACTACTTGAGAGGGAGAAGAGACAGGAAATCAAAATGGCTGTTGGTTGTTCTTTGCATTCAGAAAATACTAAGGAGCTAATCCACTTTGTCATTTTAAGTTCTATGAGGGTGTTGTAGGAGGATGGAAGATGCGCCCAGCAGGTTTGGGCTGTGTTGGTTGCAGCCCTGTCTAGCACTTGGTTGTGTAAGGAAGCCGATCTTGATGAGGACAAGTTGCTCTTTGTTGTGGGGATAGTTCTCAGCAGGATCATCACCAGGTCACTCTGCTGTACCAAGTTGTATTACCAGGGGAGAGAGGTGGGGATGTGTTGCAGAGGACTGGGACTGCAGCAGCCTGGATATGGACATGCTCTAGCTGTTGGGGAATTACATTCCTTGGGATTCTTCATAGTGCCTTCAAAAGACTCCAAGAGTAGGTGGAAAGAATAGCTACTTTTGTCACAGTCCTACATCTGCGGTGACCTGCTGTGATCACTGCAAGCCAAGATTATCAGAGGAGGCCACAAAGGTGGTCAGAGGGCTGGAGCACCTCCTGTATGAGGACAGGTTGGGAGAGTTGGGGTTGTTCAGCCTGGAGAAGAGAAGGCTCCGGGGAGACCTTAAAGCAGCCTTCCGGTACCTGAAGGGGGCTACAGGAGAGATGGGGAGGGACTCTTCATCAGGGAGTGTAGTGACAGGATGAGGGGTAATGGTTTTAAGCTGAAAGAGATTTAGATTAGGTATTAGGAAGAAATTTTTTACTGTGAGGGTGGTGAGGCAGTGGCCCAGGTTGCCCAGAGAAGCTGTGGATGCCCCATCCCTGGAGGGGTTCAGGGCCAGGCTGGATGAGGCTTTGAGCAACCTGGTCTACTGGGAGGTGTCCCTGCCCATGACAGGGGGGTTGGAACTTGATCTTTAAGGTTCCTTCCAACCCAAACCATTCTATGATCTGTATTCCCAACTCTTAACTTCAGCAGCCTTGCAGCTGAATATCCTGTTCCCGTGAGAAGCAACGTGAGCCAGAGAGGAAAATGAAACGATACTGATCTATGCAGCCTGTTAGCATGTGTTTTTGTGGGATACTGTTGAAAGCAGAATGTTGTGAAACAGTATGATTTCAGTCACTTGGTGTGATTACGATGCATGATGTGTTAATGGAATTAACATAGCACTATTTTCCTTCCTGATTACTTTTGGATAAGTTTTATAAGTAATGGAACACTTAGTGTAAACACAGTAAATTATATTCTCCAGGGAAATGAAACTTGTTCCTGGTCCTAGAATGAGATTTGTCTTGTTTATTGTGACAAACCCAGATTTTCCCATGGAGTAATATACTGTAAAAAAAGACGAACACAAATCCAATGCAGATGGGCAAAACAACCATTTTAAAAATAAGTGGCTCAAAAGATATAGGAGGACAATATGTCTGTAACATGCTGCAAGTCCTTGGCACATAAATTTTGCATTTATAATTCTTTATTGAGATGTCTTGCAGCTAGCAGTGGAGCAGCTCACCTGCATGTGATTGTGCCAGTGGCATGCTTGGAACCAGAACTCGTCAAATCCCACATTCTGTCTGCGTTACACCACCTCCTGTGCTAGGAGAGGGAGAGTCACTTACAGCTGCTATGCTGCTTTGATAGAGAAACCCTAAAATTAAGAAGAGCAGCAAAAATGTTGCCTGAAGAACTGCCTCTCACAAAGAAGTAGTTAAAAATATTGTGGAAGGTTGTTGACAAAATGTGCAAGGCAAATATTGTTATCTTAGTTCAGCAATGTGGGTATGTGTAATAACAAATAATGTTTCTTGTCCACCTGCTGTTGAAGATCATGACTTTGTGGATGATAGCTTCTCCCCTTTCAGTTGACAATGTTGCATTTTCTCCTTCAAATATTGTGTTTGTACTGCTCTAATATTTAACCTAGCTAATACTTCTGCACCTTTTTCCTCCTCCTACAGTGAGAAGGTCAACAAAGGGATTGGCATCGAAAATATCCACTATTTAAATGATGGCCTTTGGCATATGAAGACGTACAAGTGAAACAAAAGGAACTGTGTTACTCCAAAGGAATGCACTTAGATTAAATGTGGACTGCTTTGTAATTCCTTGTTTTTAATGTGACTGAATGTACAAATTATTTTGTTCTGTGGCTATGCTAAATAAAGCAAGTGAATGCGAAAGTACTGTTAGGCTACAATAGTTTTCTAGATTTCTTTTTGTTACAGTTCTTTTGTTTTGTCTTAAACCCAAGTCTTCAGTGACTGAAGATATCTGATGGGAAGATCATGCATGGACTGTGAGTAGACTAAAACGAGGAGGAGGAAAAAGCCAAGAAATGTTTACATTTTTTATGCTCTTCTAAAAGAGTAATATAAAGTGTATGTAAAATATAACTAGTATGGTTTATAAAACCTCTGAAACATTTCAGATTTTTTTCTTCTGATTAACATCTTGTTAGTCTACCTGTTTGTTGAATGTGGAGAAATCAGGTTTTTTGACATTTATTTTTTAACTTAATTTATTAGCAGCATTAACTTCAGTATTTTACTTAAGGATTTTCTCTTTTTAATATGCATTTATCTGTATAGGATTTATGAACTTAAACTGGTATGTGGACTAGAAATTATTTTATGCTAGTTCATATCTGAAGAATATATATATTCAAATTTCTACCTGCCAGCACTGTTTGATGGCGCTCTCCTTATAGTGAAGTTCACAGTAATGGTGGGCATACTCCCAATGGAGTGTGTGACGACTTGGTGCCTGATGCTCTACTCCCTCTTTGTCTTCTTATTTTAGGAGCAGAAACAAAATCACTGTTTAGCAAAGGCATAATAGTGAAGCAGAGTTATCAATGTAGCCAGGAATAGCTTCTTCAGGTGGAACTTCAAAAGAGATCTCAGCTTGTGCACACTGCCACGTGTATGTCCATCTACAGAACGGGTTACAGAGCACTGTGTGTTTGTCTGGATAATCCAACTCTTTGTTCAGCAACTGCATTCCCAAAGCTATGCCTATGGAAAACAGCCTGTGCCACGGAATCCTTTAATAAACTAAGGAAACTTTAAGGTCAACCACTCATAACTCTGTCTCTGGAAGTATTTATTAATATTTCAAGTCTCTGTTCTAACACATGTATTTTATAATGCCAGAAGGTAATTTTGTATGCAAGTGCCTTGTCTCGGTGCTGTTCTACATGTTTGGTTTCCCCGCTCTGGGATCTTTACAGGAGATAATGGCAGAGGTGTTCTCCATCTGATTGTAAAGTCCAATTAAGACATAGGAGATGGAATGTGATACCCAATACCTGCTACTTCTAAATTTCTCCTGTAAAGTTGTTTACAAGATCGTACTTTTGAAAGTGAGGGGGTAAATCTGAAACTATTTATTAATGTAGGAAGACATCAGTTAAGGTGATCATTACAGCAGTGTTGCAGAAAAAAGTTTGACTAAACCTCAGACCTTCCCTTCAGAATGCTAAGGGATATTTTTATGCATCGTAAAGACTCTGCTATAAATATACTAATTTCTTGTTAGTGCTGTGGGGAATCAGTTTGTGCTTCAGTGGTTCTTTTTTGCATAAAATGAGATAGTCTTGTGTTCTGTGGCTTGCTTTTTCCCTTCCATCCTGTCTCCTCCTGCTGTGTTTTGGTACCACTCAGATCTGTGATAAATGACATTTATTCTGGTTTGAATTGTTAACTCACCTTCTTTTTCCTTGACTTGCCTTATGACTACTGTTCTTGCAGTGAGGTCAGAACTGTCTTTAGTATCAGAAACACGATTGAAATCAAAATTTTACTTCCTTTACCCGGCTTTGTCAGAGTATTCCCAACTGTGGATCTAACCTTTTAAAAATTATTCTGTAAGAAGATAATAATTTATGCATTATTTAACTTATTTGCATTCCTATTTAGGAAAATGTTGTCCAAAATACTAACTTAAGTTTTATGTAGGATTGGGCAGCAATCACATACATGTTTGTGTTGCCATGTCAGCTGAGCTCTGACTGATGGGGAGAAGGAGAACGTGCAAGAGACAAGGTGCACCTTCTGAAACAGCTGAACTGCAGTAGCTTACTTGGTTGTCTAAGCAGTTGTTGTACTATTGTCAAAAATGATGGACCTGATGCTAAAACAAAACAGAGGCGGATATTCTTATCAGCTCTGAAGCAGCTGTTTCACTTCCCCATCTGCTCCCTTGCAGCTCAGGATAGGATGAAGTATTACGAAGGGTCTGTTAAAGAAAGGTGAGACAACAGGGTCTCTTCTCATCATTTGTAGATACTGTGGTACCAATGATGCCTGTGATGGTCCAGCTGTAGCAGATAGATGTACCTTCCTCAAGTCTTGAAGCAGCCCAGTCAGGTCAGTGGATTCCAAGTGGAGCAAACATTGAAGTTCTGCTTATTCCCACTTGTGACTTCCAGGGAGTGTGACCTGGTAACTTGTACAAAACATTTCAAGTGCATGCAATTGGAGAAGGAAAAAAAACCAAACCACCCCAAACAAAAACCCACCACCCAACTTGCCCCTCCCAACCCTGTACTGGGGTGGTCTGCAGGCTGCTTTGTGGCATATACCCTGTTTTGCATGATATTCAAAGAAAAGTTGGGAGCGCAAGCGTGTGTCGCACTTTCTGCATCTCGGTGTTAAAAACAACTAAATTCACCTACGCTACATCTGTATTGATAGTTAACGAACATCTTCCTTGTAAACACTATTAGCACCAGTAACAGGAGTGAAAATACTGAACCTTTATTCTAAAATGCTTATATATGAAGTGAAATTCTAAATAAGCAATCACTCTTGTGCTAACAGGCTGACTGTGTTAATGCTCAAATATAGTTATCTCTTTCTTTTGTCTGCTTAAAAACAGCAGTCCAAAGGTCACTTAGTATTACTCTGCTGCAACTGCCTAACAGATCTCTTTCATCAGCTTGCTTCCTGCTAATTCCTTACTGGGTTAGGATCTGTACATAAAGCAACAGGTGCTGTGTCAACAGCATAGCTCCTGTATATCCTGTAGTTTAAAGGAAATAGCTTAGTCATTGAGACTGAATCCATAGTTTTATTTGTACATCTTAGAAAGATATAAAGACATTCTGGAAATGCCTGGAAGAATTGAAAGAATCAAAATCTTGCAAAAATATATTTGTGACAGTAGACTAAAGTTCTTTTGAGTTTTCATTAATAAATATTTACATGTACAAACCCCCCATATAAACTTAGTTTCCATTTATCATAAACATTAACTTCATCATTTCATTCCAGCACTGTAAAAAGCCAGAAGCATTTCTGTATAAAAGATTTAGAAAAAAGTTCTCCTTCCAGAGCTCTACCAAACCTCAATGTGCAAAAAAAAAAAAAAAAAGCCTGTACACCAGTACCACCAGATACAAAAATCAAATCTGTCCGTACAAATGTGTGTCATGAGAAGAGGTGACTCCGTGGGTTCAGGTCTTCTCTGAAGAGACATCAGTCATTGTCTGAGCCTTCAGGTGGAAGGAAGATAAGTGCATCATTGTACGTGTGGCCATAGGGTCTCAGCCTGTAAACGCCGTACATCATCACGTGCATGTGGTTTGGGGCCAGTCCACTGAACGTGATGGCCATGTCAGAGCAGCAGCCTTCCACCACCTGCTGAGGGTGAGTAGACATTGCTTCCTTAATGAGAGCAGCCACTGATTTAGTGTTAAAGACATCTTTTCCTTCTGTATCTTCTGCGTTTTCGGCAAACACTCCAGTATACTTCAGGCAGATTGCTAGCTGTTTATCCTCAGCAAGTTTCCAAATCATACCTCCCTGCTCTGGACACTTGTCATGGTCTTCAAGAACACGGGAGAGTCGTCTTAGTGATTCAATGCTTAAGACTATTCCTCCCTCACCAGCTACATACTCGAGGTCACCAGATTTCACAGTGTGTCCTATATAATAAGGCTGTGAGGGGTCTTTTTGCAGCAAGAAATACTTGAGATTTTCAATAATAGCAAATGTTGTTGGATATGCAAGGAAGAACCAGTTGAATTCATCTTTATAGCGTTCATATGTTATCTTGTAAGCTTTTCTCATCATCACCCACATATCATTTGTGTTGAGAACTACAGAATCAAACACTTTGACGTTTTCAGAGCTGTAGAATTCCACCTTGTCGCAGTGCTTGCTCCACGTCTCTTTCACTGCAGCCCAATGCCCCAGATCTTTTGGTTTCACAAGGATGATACAATAGACGCGGATACTTTTACTAAGCTCCATGCGTTCACCCTCTGAAAGGTTTAAGACATCTTCTGTGTTGGGAGCCTGGATGTGATGATGCTCGTGGTGATGTGCTTTAGTCCCATGGCCCTCCTTGATATGTCCCAGGAGCGTCACCAACATGCAGAAGGCTCCTCCGAGCACCACACCCTTCACAAAGGAGCTGCTTTCCGCAATCATTTTTCCTAGAAAGGAGACACACTGTAAGAATTACAGGAATTCATTTACTGCGGCAGATTCTGTCTCGTTTTAATACATTCTTCAATTTCTAAATCCCGCTGCAATTCCCTGACCTCACACACCAGGATAACGCTGCT